TTATTTAGACAACCAGCCGGGGTTTTTAATCATCTCATTGCAAGACTATCTGCTAGAAGCTGAAGCTCTGTTTTTCACCAAATCAATTATCCAGCAACAGTAACCCTGGAAGTAAACTTGGGTCAGGGAGGGCCTGTGTTGGAGCACCACACCTACACTTCTCACTTTTTCCAGGACTCTCCCTGGCTACTCCGAAAACAAACAGAACACCATGAACGGCATGGCAAATAAACCACAGCAAGAAGACAATATGAATCACAGGCTGCATGAACAGCACAGCAGATTGTTCCTTCCCCCACTGAAAGAAAGGGGGTAAAATCAAGGGGAACAAATCTTTGCAAACAGCTCTAATTACAGGCTTGTGTTAGGCAACCATCACATAAAATGAGTTCCTTCTTTATGAAAAAAAATGTGCAAAGCATCATTGTAAGGGATGTACTGGAGAACACTTTGAGCCAGGAAAGGGGAAAGCAGAGTCATAAGCTAAAAGGTCATTTGTTCCCATGTGCACTAGCTCAGTGTCAAGAAACATAACTGTAAACTCCCACTGGTGCATGACTTACCTGTTCCTCTTCATTGTGTTATCCTGTTTGTCCTGTTTCATTTAACTGGAAACCCCAATGATCTGAGTGATTCTGTTTCTCTCTTCTGGTTAGGAGTATATTCACCAGGTGCTTGCTAATGTTGGAAATTGTTTTTAAGATTGAAAAATCTTGCTCTCCACTGGTTATGAATACATTTGTCAGTTGAAAAAAAAAAAAACTAATTGATAAGGGAAAAAAATCACTATCTGTAGTTCATGGTGGAGTTAGGGGTTCAGGAAGACCTGAGTTCAAATATTGTCTCTGTCACTTAGTAGCTGTGTGACCAAAGACAAGTCATTTAGGCTCTGCAAGCCTCAGTTTCCTCATCAGAAAGAAAGAATACTATAATGACAGCTCTATTATATATCTCGTAGGGTGCTTAAGAGGCTGAATGATACAACATATACAAAGAACTTTAGAAACTTGAAAATATAATGTAAATGTCAATTGTGATAAGGTAAGTTAATTTTTTAATTTTTAATCTTGACAAATTTGGAAATAGTCATATTGCTCCAAATAACCCTTGAGTTATTTCCCTAATATCTTCCCTTGTAAAAGAATGATGAGTTCTAAGACACTCGGTAATTTATGTAGCAAGGAGTGGGGGTGGGGAATAGTCATATATATACTAGGTATAGGAATGGATGAGATCTGTAGCATAAAGGGCACAATTCACAAGATTAGCTTTCAGCGTCTATTCCAGTGCTACACGGAAAAGTAATGCAATGGAAATAATGGTAGATATGGATCAGAGCATCTACCACTTCAGTTGGATCTGACTCTGTGACCCTATGGACCATACCATGCCAATATTGTCCATCTTGGCAAAGATACGAGAGTAGTTTGCCATTTCCTTTTCCATTGGATTAAATGACTTGCCCAGGGTCACACAACTAGTTAAGTGTCTGAGGCCAAATTTGGACTTAGGTGTTCCTGGCTCCAGGCCTAGTGCTCTATCCACTAAGCCATCTAGATGCCTCCAAGGAAAACAGAGATTAAGTGACTTGCCCAGGGTCATACAACTCGTAAGTGTCTGAGGCCAAATTTGAAAATGAGTCTTACTCACGCTACGCGCAGTACTCCACCCACACCCACTGTACCACCTAGCTGTCTTTATACACAGAGTCTCACTGCAATCCTTCTGCCACACAAAAGGCCTCTTGTTGACTTGGAAAGCATCATGTTTTTCTCTGCAGTTACAAGTTGTGTAACCCTTCCACATTGTTTTCAAGCCAGAACGTAAGCATCTCTACTTCTATTTTTTAAGATAATAGCTAACATATAACTAAAGATTTGCAGAGCTTTTATCATATATCTCATTTGATCTTTAGACCAACCTCTGATGTGCTTTTATCCCCATTTTACTGATGAGAAAACAAGCTCAAAGAGTTAAGTAGCCCAAGTAGTCCTACTTCTGAGTAGGGGGATGCTATCCACTATGCCAAGCTACCCCTGAGAAAGTGTGGACATGAACCTGGACCTCAGATGAAACAGGAAAATGATTTCCTGGCTGACAAGCCTCTTTTTTATGAAAGGTTTTGCCTTTTGGAATAGACAAGCAAAATACAGCAGTCATTACCATTCTAATCAGTGCTTTAGTGTGGTGGACCTCACTTTCAACAGGACGAAATGTGGACTGGCTGCTCCTACACACACACACACACACACACACACACACACACACACACACACACTCTCTCTCTCTCTCTCTCTCTCTCTCTCTCTCTCTCTCTCTCCCCTCCCCCCTGCCCCTTTCTCAGGGAACTTCTGTTGAAGGGACTTATTTAATGTTTATTATTGAGTTTTCCCATGGCGATTAAAACGTGTAATAAAAAAGGAAGTATGTACATTTTTGCATGCCATGAATTTTGAACCAACCTGCAGAGCACCTGCAGGACAACAATACACAAGTCTTCCATGCCTGTCTCCCTTATCCTTAAAATAACCTTCACTAGTCCCTAGCCAGCTATCAGCTGATACCTTTCCTCCTTTCCTCTACCAAACTCCTTGACTCCTTAACTGCCAAAACAAATGGGTGTTTATCAGTCCTCAGTCTTCTCAACCAGTCTGTGATATTGGACGCTGTTATCCACTCTCTCCTCCTGGACACTCTCCTCTCTGGGCTTCCGTGGCACTGTTCCTCCTTGGTTTTTCTCCTACCTCTCTGTTTGGTTCTTCTCAGTCTCCTTATCATCATCCAGTCATGCTCCCTAAATGTGGAGATTCTTGCAAGGTTCTGTCCTCTCAGTCTCCTGTTGTTCCACTCTCCTTCTCTCTCAGTGACCTCATAAGCTCCATAGGTTTAATTATGATTTCTATGCAAATGACTCACAGATCCATACATCCAGTCTCTAATCAGAGCTTCAATTCCACCTCACCAGTTGCTTTTTAGATATATCAGATCGTATATTCAAAAGACATCTAAAACTCAATTGGTCTAAAGCAGAACTAATTATCTTTCCCTCAACTACAGTTCCACCTCCAAACTCCCCTATTTCTGGAGAAGGCAAGACCATCCTTCCAGTCTTCCAGGTTCATAACTTTGGCATTACGTGGGTGACAAAGAAAATGTCAATTTGGCTGGGTCATAGGATGTAGAAGGGGAAATAAGATCCAATGAACCTGCATAGTAGGTTGGAACTAGGTGGTGTAGGGCTTTAAAAGCTCAACAGAGAAGTTTATACTTGTCCCTAGAGGCTTAGGAAGCCATTAGAGTTGATGGAATAGGGGTGACCCATGGTTGGATCTGCATTCAAGGAAAATCACTCTGGCAGCCAGTGTGGAGAATGGACTAAAATGGAGAGAGATATGAGGCTTGGGAGACCAACTAGGAGGTTGTTGCACCTATCTACGTGAGAGGTGATGTAAGACTGAATTAAGGAGGCCACTAGCTATGTGAGGAAAAAGAAGGGGCTGGATTCGAGGGATGTTGTGAAGGAAGAAATGAGGAGACTGAACAGATCATTAGTGCCTGTGGGATAAGAGAGAATGGGTAGAACCAAAATAAACAATAAGTCCCCAACAGTGTGCAGGGAGAATCCTGTGCTAGGAACTGAAAAGGGTAGTAATTTAGATAATAGGATTGTTATGAAGAAATAAAAATGATAGCTAACATTTAAATAGTCATTTTAGGTTTGGAAAGCACTTGACTTAATGGTCTTCACAATAACTCTGTAAAATAGTCTATTGTTATCCCCATTTTACAGATGAGAGAAATTAAGCGATTTGACCTTCATCACATAGACAGTTAAGTAGAAACGTGAGATTTGAACCCAGGTTTCTACTGGCTCCAAGTCCAATATGATCTTTATAAACTGTAAAAGGCTCATTGAATGTGAGCCATTATTCTCCAGTTATTCTGAGAGTTGGTAATGACTATGAAAAGCAGAAAGGGATAGGATCTCTGGTACCTCCACGTCTCATGCATGGGACTTGATAGAGGAGCAAGACAGCTGAGCTGAAGGAGCTTTGGAGTTGGATCCAGAAGAGTTAAGTTTGCTTCCTCGCCAACGCTTAGCTGTGTGACCAAGGATGAGACATGGCCACCCTGAGTGTTAGTTTTCTCAGCTATAAGATGAAGATAAGATATATGCTGCTCACTTCAGATGGTTGTGGTGAGGGTAGTGCTTTGCAAATCTATATATGTGCATTGCTATTTGAAGCAGCGAACCAACACTCTACCATTTCTGTAGATTATCTGAAGACTTGATGCTAGCAGCAAATTCTGGCTGAATTATTCGTGAAGAAGGATTGTGCCCCTGGTGCTTATTACATCTGTTTAACCATGGAAAAGTCATCTAACCTTTCAGGGGCTCAGTTTTCCCCACTGTAAATAAGGGGGTGGACTATATGGTCCCCCGAGGTCTCTTTCAGCTTAGGTCTGTGATCCCAGGAAACAAGAACAAGGCCGAATCCATGAAGGAACTGTGTCTGTCCCTGGTATTAGAGAAGATGGTAATATAATGGAAAGAGGTAGAATTTAGAAGGCCCAGCTCTATTTGCTCTCTATTTCCTCAGCATCAGCATTTATGCAGCGTGTGACCTGAGGGGTTGGGACAGGAAGAGGGCACATGTTGGGTTAGCCATAGCCTCCCAGTAGCTCTGCTCTGACAGCTCCTTAGCATAATGGGTACAAATGAAGGGCAAACACACTAATAATAATTGGTTGGGCTGATTGGCTCTTTTATAGTTCTTATTGCTAAATTATTATTGCAGTTAACTTTTGTCAATATTTCAACCTCTGTTGACTGTCACTCAATAAATAATCTTGTACTCAGGAAGGGTCAGGCTCTCTGTTGGTCTTTGTTTCAGTGACATGAATTCATTAATTCAAAAAAAGCAAGAGCTCCCAATGAAAGAGCAGCCACAAACAGACTTTCCCCTGAACACCTATTTTGTTTTGTTATTACAGTTTACCTGACACCAGCTGAGGAGACTGAAGGAAAACTTTTGTGAAAAAGGCTTGGAAAATGCACTTTCTCCTGTCTTGTTCTATATTCACTGCTTCTCCAGCACTAGACGCTGCCTCGTTTATTCTTGGAATAGCCTTTCAAACTTAACGAAGACATTTATTGCACATCTGCATGACTGTCTCCTTCAAGAAGATTCATTCTGGGAACCTAGGATTTAAAAAAAAAAGATTTAGGAATGAAATTGAAGCCAAGAGATCTCATTTTCTGTGTAGCAACAGGGCCTAGATTCATTATTACTGTTTTGGAGTAACAACTATTAAATACACAGCTTGAATCTACATCATGTGTGTGACTCTCCTGATAGACCATGCCAGACACATAAATCTAATAGGAATGACATTTAATTAAGATGTAAAACAACATAAATAACACAAAAAGGGAATAATTACAAAAAGTAAAATATTATCTGCATCCATACATAAAGGGATGTGATCTCCTATACCTCCAGGGGAGTTATACTCTAATTCTGCTTCATTCCCTCTTTCCCTCTTTCTCTTCTCTCACCCCATCCCCCACTTCAGTCTCTCTCTCCAGCCTAATGGAAGGACATAGCTTCATACCTCTGGTGGGATATACTTAAAGTGCAATGATATCAGCCTCTTACTGTGTCATTTCTGGGATTCCCTAGAGGCAAAAAAATAGTGGCTGATAAGTAGCAGCAGGCTAGCCAATGTTGTAGCCTTGTGCCTTGACTCTACAATCATCAGAGTCAAACCAAAATGCCACAATGGCCATCCTTCTTTGCATTCCTTGCCAGCCATAGTTTTACAGTGTATATATCTCCTCCACTTACCCCTGCAGTTCTTGAACCCTCTTTTCTAAACCTCCCACCTAGTAATCTGCTTTCCACCAACCTCTCTACATGTTTGGTTGACCCTATCCCTTCCCTCTTTCTGTAGCCAATTGCATCCTCAATCATTCTCTCCCTCTGCCAAATCTTCAATCTTTCCCTGTGTATTGGTTCCTTTGATATTGCCTTCAAATATGTCTGTCTCCCATTCTTAAAACACATTCACTAGATCCTACTATCTATCCCCTTAAGCTATTGTTCTATCTCCCTCTTCCCTTTCTCAGTCATCTCCCTTGAAAAAGATATCTACACTTGCTAACTCCACTTCCTTTCCTCTTACTCACTCCTTAGCCCTCTGCAAACTGGCATCACTCAACTAAAACTACTCTAAAAGTTACCAGTGGTCTATTAATTGGCAAGTCTAATTTTAAAAAAATCAGTTCTCCTTCATCTTGACCTACGTGTTGCATTTGACACTGTTACCTGACTTCTTTTTCTTTCTACTCTCTTCTCTTGGTTTTTGTAACACTGCTCTTCCCTGGTTCTTTTCCTACTTGTTGAATTCTCATTCTCCTTAGTTGGCTCCTCATTCATATATTAAAGCTCCCTAAGGTCCTATCCTCTTGGCTTTTCTCTCTCCCCTCTCTCCCCTGGTAATCTCATCAGCTCCCATGGGTTTAATTATCATTTCTATGCTGATGAATTACAGATCTATGTATTCAATCTCAGTCTCTCCCCAGAGCTTCAATCCCACATGGCCAGTTGCCTATTAGACATGTCAAATTGGATGTCCTAGAGACATCTCAAATTCAAATGATCTAAAACCCAAACTAATTATCTTTCTCCTAAACCCTTTCCTCTTCCAGATCTCCCTTTTCTGTTGGAGATTCTACTATCCTTCTAGTTTCCCAGTTTGGCCATATCCTCAATATCTCATTCTCCCTCATCTCACATTATCTAATCAGTTGATAAATCTCCTCACTTCTACCTTCACAACATCCCTCAAGTCCAGCCCCTTCTTTTCTTCCCTCATATAGCCAACTACCAGGCCATCATCACTTCTTGCCTAGATTAGTGCAACAACTTTCTAATTGGTCTCCCACGCCTCCAGTCTCTCTCCATTTCAGTTCAACCTTCACACTGCTGCCAAAGTGATTTTCCTTAAGTGTAGAAAACCTGTTACAGAGGCTCTCAATCACCTCTATGATAAAATACAAGCTCATCCATTTGGCATTTCAAGCTTCTCAAAATCTGGCCCGAGGCTATCTTTCCAATTGTATTGAACATTATTTTCTTTCAAGCAAATTTTTTTCAGCAAAACTGCAACTTGCTGCTCCCCAAACACACTCCCACCACTATAGCTTTGCATAAGCTTTCCCACCCGGACTGGAAGGTATTTCCTTCTCACCTCTGCTTCCTAGCATTCCTACTTTCTTTCTAGGATCAGCTCAGGTATCACCTCCTACATCAGGCTTATCCTAATATCCTCTCTTCCTCCATTACTATTAACCTTCCTTCCCCCTAAAAAATACTTTGTTTTATATGTTTTTATAACTTATTTCCACATTGTTTTCATCGTCATCTTGTTTTCTCCCAACAGATCCAGTATGGTATGGTGGAAAGAGCATCAGACTTAGAATCAAAGGACCTATATCTCCTCTGTCACTTGATACATATGTGATATTAACCAAGTCACTTAATCTCTCTGGGTCTCAGTTTCCTCTTTTTGAAAATGAGAATATGGGACTAAATGGCACTTGGCTGTAACTGAACAATGAACCTTGAGGGCTGGGCCTGTTTGGGTTTTGTCTGGGTGGTCTTGGCTCCTGGAGCAGTGCCTGCCACTTAGAGGGCCCTTAACAAATGAGTAAGTGGATCCTCTCTAGAATCCTGTGACTTGGACAGTGCAGGCATTATGATGTTCATTTTGCATAGAGAATCAGTGCACCAGAGAGAATATACTCATCGCCGTTGGGGTAGAAGTGGAAAGGGTCTGATACGGTAGTCCCTTTAATATCCCTGAAAGAATAGCACTTGCTGATTCTTCCAATGGCTTCTAACAATACAGGTTGTCATCTGAAATTTGCCTGTGGATTGGCTTCTGATTCCTATCAATCACCTCCAGGGAAATGAAGGGGGAAAGTAAACCAAATAACAAATGAGAAAGAAACTCAGAAAAAAAATGTTTTAATCTATTTACATCTGGAAGATAAAATAACTAGTACAAAGGGAGGTTACATTGGTTTTTGAATCCTGGATCAGAAACTTACTAGCTGTGTGATGTTAAAATAGTCACAAACCTCCTAAGCCTCAGTCTCCGCATCTATAAAATAAGGATTATAATACCTGCACAATTACCTCACAGGGTTGATGCGAGCCAAGTTCTTTATGTAATAGGGCTCAGCTGGCCTGGAGTGAGAGGCAGGCAGGCGCAGATATTCTCCTCTGGATTTCAGTCCAAGAGATAATATAGAAACCTGAAACTTGTTACCAGCCTCGTGTGGCTGAGGGGTGGATACTGGGTGATCATGAAAAGGCTTCTGATTGGCTCAGACCTGGAAGAACTGAAGACTCAGAAGCAATTGAGTAAACCTGAGCTGGTATACAAAAGGGGCCACATACTTGCTCATGTCTCAGTCCCTTGGTGGCATAGGGTGAGGAAGAGTACTTTGAGTCAGTCCCAACCTGCTATGTGGGGAGGGGGAAGATGTCTGATTTTGTTCTGTATGTGGCACCCAAGTGTTTAGGCAAAATTTTAAATAGCTCACATTTATATAGATAGACTTTACAGGTGTGCTGAAGCTAGTTGTACCAAAGCTCCCATTGTTAAATTTTCTGTGTCAGCATTTACACTTCACAATCCAGCAAACTACAAATCTGGGCTTGATATATTTCTTTGTAGCTATCTAGACTTAAGAAAGAGATGGAGAAAATCTTAATAATTCAGATTAAGCTTAAAACTATTCATTTTACTTTAAAAAAGCCTGCTGTTAAACATTTACCAGCATACACCTGGTTTAAGATAATAATAAGACCTAATATTTACATGGCACTTTAAAAATAGGATCTCATTTGATCCACACAACAAGCCTGTGAGATAGACAGTATTATTAGTATCCCCATTTTATAGATGAGGAAACTGAGACCCAGGAAAGTTAAATGATTCAGCCAGGGTTGCACAGGAAATAAGTGATAGAACCAGAGTACTTTTCTCATAACAACCCTGGGAAGCTGGTGGTAGAGGCATCATGATTTCCATGACCCAGAGGATAAATTTATTGGTCAGAGAAGGAATGTAGTGGTGACAGAATCAGAATTAGACCTAGGTCTTCAGATCCTTAGTAGAGTACACCTTCCACCACTCCTGTAGAGCCTTTTCGATTTTTCTCCCCCTCTTGCCCCACTTCCTTTTCCATCCTCTTTCTTCATCCTCACCTTTGGGAGCCCAGATGAGCACCTACTGCCTGGTACGTGTCCGTTATACTTCAAGGTGGCTCCACCATGAGCAAGGAGATCAAGCTTGTCTCTTTCCTCCTGTTACCCTATAAAAATGTACTTGCCCTGAGGCCAATTCCTACTTTCTAAATTGACAGTTAGCTAAAATCTGGAAAATTAATACATTGTAATGTTAATGGATGTTAATAGCCTGATGTGTTACCCCTTGTTATAACTGATTTATTCCTCAACCACTGCCTTCTGAACACACTGTGGCTCACCCTTAAAAGAGGGAGTCTGAATGAATGAACAATGAATAAGCATTTATTAAGCACTTACAATGAACAAGGCAATGTGCTGCGCTCTGATTATAACCAATAAAGGAGCAAGACAGTCCCTGGTCTCAAGCAGCCTTATGTTCCAATAAAGAAGACAACACATCTAAGAGGGGGCAGCTCCAAGTCTTATGGAAAGGTTCCATGGTCCTTAGCATGTAGCAGCAAAGCAGATGGTAATGCAACTTTACAGTCATTTCTATTAATAAAATCATATGTGTTTCCGATGAACCACTTTAGTGCCAAGGACTTTGATGGCAAGAGCTGAGTATTCACTAGCTGTGGTTGCTACACCTGCAGAAACAGCTCCTATCTTCCCAAAGGTTGCTTCCTAGGATGATGGCTGCAGGGGCTGCCCAAAACAGGAACAGTAGTCCGACAGGCATTGCTTTTCCTAAGGCTCTTGGATTCCAGGTTCCGAACTAGCCCCATCAGATTCTGAGGTGGGGTGGTGCTTGAAGGCAAATGCCACCTCCTTGTCTCTACCTCAGAAGACATCAGCCCTGCCTCTTCCAGTCTGTTTGACCTTAGGGCAAGTCACAATGAAACATTTAGACAACACGGCATCTAATGCTATTCTAATGATGTCATATGGCCCTAGACACAGAACTTCATACTGTCAGATGAAT